TGAATTCGCTTGCAAGCTACTTTCATACTTTCACGCATACTGGCATAATGTTTCACCATTGATAACAATAGTCTTAGTGGTTAGCATTCCGAAAACTGTTTGTTAAATAAATTTCTGTGTGATCAGTGCGACTAGTCTTGGTGCCAGTGGTTCTTTCATATGAATGCCATCAGCAGGAAAGTGGAAACTGTAGACCGGTATAAGGCGGTTTCGACCAATCGATCCAAAACCCAGACCAGTACCGGACCGGACCGGCCGGTTATCGGTACCGGTTCCATCTCTGACACAAAAATTTATATAATTACATCCACTAAGCATGGCAATTTTGTGCTGGGTGTTTCAAATTATTTGGTGAATCTGAAACTCAGTCACTGTTGGGATGTGGGTGTGTGAAGAGGCTATTCAAAATCGCACTTACATCTTCCCACACCTATCCACATCAACGCCCAAACTCTACTCGAAACCCAAAAACACTCACACTCGTTACGTTTACAAGCTCTATATGATTGAGGTACGGTCGGTTCTGATTTAAAAACTCCAGAGAATGGTAGGAAGTCAAGAAGGAAATGCCTGAGACTTCGATTTTGTAGTCTCATGAAGTCTGGAAGTCGCTGTTTCTTCCTCGTAAGAAGTAGGAACAAGAAATTCAGTAGTTGCATTTGGCAATCAGATCTGTCTAATTCCAGCCAAAATCGAGCGTAACCGAACACGATCGCCGAATTCCAGTTTCCAAGTTGCTATCAATTGCCGAGCGTTTTCGGTCAGAAATCCACGGACCCAGGCGCTGGGATCATTGGCTTGGAGTAAGGAGAATCCTGCTTATGACCTGTTTGATATTTAAAACAACGGGTATTTTATCCAAACGGGCATCTATTTTAGAGAGCAAGCTCAAGAACTACTTCCTAATCGAGCTGAAGATTGTTAAGAAATTCTTACAATGCGCGAAACAATTATAAAAAGCAACTATACTTATTTTTCGTCATTCTACGACAAGAAAAATATCGGTATTGATAAAAATGTTTAATAGATTCGAAGATTCGGCAAATATTTTAATGTATGAAGTTTTGAGTCAAAACACCATCATTCTATGTTAGTTATGACTGACTCTCTATACTGTATCTCACAAAAAGTTTTATCGTATTTTTATGTGAAAGAACTCAGACATAGATATATATCTCATCATCAGCATTTCGATTACGTGCCTACGTCAGGCACTAGGTATATGTTATATCATAGAGCATTGCTATACAATTCTGCTATATTTCGCAAGGAAGTAATGTTGTTTTATTTGAGTTGGAGGCGCAATTCTTTCTTACCGTTAAGTCAAATGCGACAGACACAATATAATGGCGTGCATTTATGTGTGCTCGTTCTTTTTGTATAGTAGACGACGAATAGTTACTGTTTGTGTGTGGAAAAAAACCAGTAACTTCTTTATTTGCACATGCTGTCGTCGTCATGATTGAAGAAGAAAGAAAGAAAATTTGAAACTTATCACAATACAACGTTATGTTTCTTACATAGGCTTGTGTAACAGTGATGAAATATATAGCTGTAAAAGTAATTTAAGCCCAATACATGTGCATGTGGATATGTATGTAGATCAGTTTGAGAATGAATGTGATTGTAAGTGGGTAAGCATGAAAAGATGTGAATTATTGAATGAAGGAGCGACTCTTATCTTGCGCCATATCTTCCTCTACACCCGAATGAAGACGTCGGTATTTTACATTGAAATCGACAATAATCAATGTTCTTATACAAACATACACAACAATCAGCCAGATCAAGATGTTATCATTGGATTCTTGGTGTTCACCGACTTTCGATCTTTTACATCTGGCAAGTTGATGTTCGATTCATGTCACAGTGAATGGTCAACAATGTTATCAACATATAGATGATAAAATGTTGGTAGAATGCAATACAAATTCTCTTTATCTTCAATTCAACATGTAAATGGACGAAATTTGAAAAGTTATAACACATAGACAATGATCATGATACTTTTGCTCAATTAGACCGATTACTTATTGATGGTTTTTACTCAATTAAATAGTTTTATGAAAATATCAATAAAAGCAAGACAGAATATGATTCGGTGTTATCGTTCAATCTATTGCATTTATTTTAACTTTTTTCGAAAAAACTAGCAGCTTGTATTCTTACACATCGTTTCTAAAGATTTTTTGCTTCTTTCAGTTTATGTTTTCATTATTTTGAAATTAATGACTTGATTATTTTCTTCAAAACTTTATACTGATCAGAGCATGGTCGACTACGATAGAAGTTTCTCCAATAAAGAAAAAATGATACGTCTCTAACTCATTGTATCAATTATTGATGGAACATTTCCAAAATCAATATATTCAAATAAATCTGAGAAAAGAATATTTTCTTTGGCTTTATCCATTGTCTCAATTTGGCACTATTAAGTCATGTTATCAATATCAATAATCTCATGTTCGATCGATGTCGACAATAAATTTCTATCTTATTTTAATAGTATTCCATGAACAAATGATTGACTATTAAAATTAAATATTTCTATATTACAATGAATTTCAATTAGATATTGAATGAAACAATGTCGACAACCATGAACTTTCAAACAGAAATGTAACAAAAGAACATTTCTATTTGTAAACCATAGCTCGAACGTGTTTTTATCATTTATTTTATACAATAATTGTTTTCTCATACGGTTTTCGATTATAATATCAATATTCATGTCAATATAATCTATAGTACTATAAAAAATTTTATAATAGTTCATCGTGTCGATAAATTGAACGAATCAGATCAATATGTAGTAATATTTATAGAGAAGATGTGATTATTTCTATTACAGTCGTTAGAATGAATATATCACTATTATTATCATTGAGTGATTCGCTTAATCTTATCATACATCGAGCTTTTAGATCTACAAGGGATGTTTTTATTTTTATTTGATATGACATCCTTGAGTTCGCATCAAATTCCAATTAATATAGCAAGCATCTTCATGCCATTACCAAATGGCAGCATTGTGTTACACATTCTAATCCCATGGGGATTGTATTGAAAACTTTACAATTGAAGTTAAATAATGAATGCAGAATGAGCATCTACACACTCAATCCTTCTCAATTATAGATTTTTCCCGAATATGTCTGTCCTTCGTTGCTTTGACATCGAATATACAACCAGTTACAACATTCGATCTCAGACACGAAGGCTCTCTTCAAAAAGAAATAATATCATTGGAATAGATTTGTCACTTTCATTGATTTGCCGTCTTGCTGAAAACCTGTATGCTACATCAACCACAGATGGTACCATTGAATAGACCTTATTGGTTTTGAAAAGTTGGCTTGATTAGTAGTCGTATAGTTTTCATCTTCAGTCAGCAGAATATTTGTATGGTCGAGTCATGCTAACATAATTACGCATGAAAATTCCGATTGGTAATGAAATCGACTAAGCTTTTAAAACACTCTCAATAAGTGCTAGACCATTTGAATTTAGACAAGGAAATAGGCCGAATATTTTATGATAATAATCGGCGAATTCAACCATGATCTCTTCAACATGACACTTATTTATTGGTGAGGTGAGTGTACGTATGAGTATTGATGAATTGAAGACCCAAGCCACACCATTATTAAGAGGATCTTTTGGCTTTTGCAAGATAATTGAATGATTTTTGCATCCTGATCGAATTAGAAACAATTGTCTTTATTCATATCCCAAAATTGAATTTCGACTGAGCAACAAGGGACTCTCTTGAAAAGAATATGTTCTCTGAATGGTAATGCTGTTTAATGAAGTCTCCGATTATTTCTTTTTCGAATTGTATTCGACAAAATCAGCCTGACATGGGTCTTGATGAATATATTTTTCGAGATATGCATATACGAAAGAAGGATTAAATCTCTTTGTAACATTACTTCTTGTATTTTGGTTAGTACACATCAAGTACGATTAAGTCTTTGGAAGGATGGCACGCCTGCAGACTACTGTTTCACTATGTTAAATATTCAAATTTAAGATCTATGATACGAAAATTATATAACACAGTAAATGAGCATGTGTCTGTCTACTCAGCCTATGCGCAGTGAGATATCTATTGGGTGATGATTGATCTACAAGCATCAGGTCAAAAGAGTCTCAAAGTTGAAGCTGTTATATGTTGCTCAATAATCTTAAAACGAGCTAGCACATCGTATTATACAATAAGATACGAAAAATCAGCAAACACTCTCTGTAGATTGTAAGATATTCGCCCAAAGAGCATGCTAAACAGAAAGAGATTTCAGCCCCATCGGAATTTGATAAATAAATATTTTTTCTAGCAACTGAACAACGAAATAAAGTTCTTTCGTCATTACTCGACTATCTATTTGTCGTTCAATGGATTTTATATTTTCATCTTAACAGAAAACGAGAGTATATTTGTTGAAAAATCTTTTGGTTAATTTCTTTATGCAATAACTGCACATTCCAATATCGACTATTTTTACCGATTTACTTCTATTACAACTAAATTTCGAAAGAATTATTTTAAAAAAACCATTTCTCCTTTGATTGCAAAATTTAAAATTTTTCTTTTTCTCAAAATCAAGCATTAACTCTTTTTACAAGTCATATTTATGAATTCCATCGAAAATGGTTTATGCCTTGAGCTCATTAATAAGACAATATTTTCAAGTTTATTATGCACCCTATACCAAAGGTGCATAATGTGAGTCATACCGATGTTTACTCTTATCGTGTTACCACGTGTAACAGAAAAGGTTACAGTTGAAATTGCACATCATATACTAAATTAATACATGACACATGAATAAGAATGAATATATGTAATTACAGAAAATAACCCGTTGAAAGTATTAAATGATGAATCATCATATGAAATGAATAAGGAATAGATTGAGTTGTTATGTTTCATTGATATTTAATTGAGAAACACATCGATCATATAAAGTGCAATTGTGTTTTATCGAATAAGAAAAAAAATGACTCTAGAATCGTTAACGAACAAATTAATACATGAAATATTCGAATATATCAGTACTCAACATCTTCTTCATGCATTTTATGGCATTAATGTTCGTTTTAATATGCTCATTTATGATCATATTCGAGATCATGATGGTCTTTTTCAATCCATATCTAAATCATTGTTCAACACACTTTGTATCAAATATCTTCCAATGAATAAGCATCGAATTTTTTCACTACATCTGTCCGACAATGATGATTCACCACAACAAATCGAATGCTTCTTCAACAATGGTTTTCATCTTCGAGAATTCATTCAACTTCGATATCTAACGTTAGATTTTATTCATAGTGAAAATACAACGAAACGAATAATGTTAGAATTGCGTCATCTACCTTTACTGACGGATTTAAATTTAAATCAATGCTATCTTCGTAATCATCCAAAATATCAACTAAATTTTGTCAATAATATTTGGAGTTTACCAAAACTCATTCGATTGAACCTAAATATTGTACCGGAATACAAATGCTGTTTATCCGTACCGACAGTCATCTCATTAAGTATTGAATATCTTTCTGTCACGGGTGTTTATTATGAAAGTAATGAAATTGATCGTCTCTTCAAAACTACACCTCGACTTCGATCATTACTAGTTGAAATGACGTGTACAACATCGAATAATGACTTTACAATTGTTCTTCCATCGTTAAATCGATTGAATATCATGTTCCATTCAGCTCAAAAAAGCACAATTGAAAATCTGTTACGTAATTTACCGAATTTAAATGCATTAAAAATTGAAATATTAGATCTTTGTTTAAATGGTCATGATTGGGAACGAATTATCACTAAATATTTATTAAAACTAAAGCGATTCGAATTTAAAGTAGATGATAATTTTTCAAAAAATTGCATCATAAGTAAAGAGATCAATCAACTTCTTCAAACTTTTCAAACTCGATTCTGGATTAATACTCATCGATGGTTTGTTCGATGTGATCTATTTGAAACAGAGCATTATTCTTTGTACACATTACCGTATGCTTTTAAAGATTTTTCTCGATTACCAATTTTTTCAAAATCAACTTGTTCCGATGATTTTAATCATTCTCGTATGTATGATTATGTATGTAATATATCGAGTCCATTGACATTTTCATCTTATATAATCAAAATTCATTTTCATTTTCAAAATCTTCATCAACTCTCTATTAAATGTCCTATCGATCAATTGTTTTGGTCATGTATTTCAAATCTGAATCGTCTATGTTCACTACGTATTTTTTGTTATGATGGTCGAAAATCATATCGCTCTCAATTACAAACGATTCTTGATCGAGCACCAAATTTAAATTCTCTAAGTTTGCTGAATTCACCATCGGCAATTTCACAAATGATCTCGTTTCAATATAAAAGTAACTCAATACGTCAATTAGATCTGCAACCATTAGGTGACTGGTATAATAAACAAGATTGTCAAACATTGAGTCGTTCATCGCTCGGAACCCAATGTGAAACACTTTGTATTCGTGTAGAAAATCGAGCATGTATATTTGATCTGGTTTATACAATGAAAAATTTACGTTCACTCAATGTTCGATGTCGCGACGACAGATGGAACGAATACATGGCATCAGACAATGATGAATTAATTCATTGGTTAAAAAGATATCTGCCATCAACATGTACAGTAACTAGAGACTCTTGTTCACAATCGAGAAATCTTCGTTTGTGGATTCGTTAATAAATATAATAAACAAGATTTGATTTTTTGAAAAAAAATACTTGCTGAAAAGTGTCACTCTAGATCAGGATGTCAGTGTGCTGACAGTACAATTGTAAAATATGCTCAAAGCTGTGGACCTACACTTTCCAGGCACAGCTATATACTACTTGTGTTTTTCTAGTATAATATGTAGAAAATTTTGGTGGCTGTAATCGTACTATCGACTCTGCTTCTCGATAGTTAAACTCAGGAGGTATCTAGGAAAGATGTCATTTAATCATATTCATTAGGTTGATCGATTATAACAAAATTTCTCAGCTATGAGTCATGCTTATTGCATGCAGTGGAAAAAAAATTATGAATTTCTCTCAAGAAGTATTGCCAAGTGATGTCAATAATGAAAGTAATAATCATTTTTGTGCTTTTTGGGCTTATAACTGTAACCTATCCGGTAGAAATATTCAAGCAACACTGGTCAAATCTTAGAAAAAGGTAATTACAGTAATTTCTGTAATTAGCAAATGAGTCTATAACACAATGAAGCAGAAATTACAATCATATTCTAGGAAATTTCCACGGTAATTTCGTAGACCAATGGAAATTACTAAGAAAGTTACAGCAGTTTTGGAAATTACTTGATTAGCATAGATATATGAGAGACGCTCATTTCCGACATGTGCAGAAATTTCGATAATTTCAATAATAACACTAATGACGGAAATTTCCATAATTACCGAAACCTCTATACACGTTATAGTTAGGCTTTTTCTGTTCATGTCTATCATTTTGGTAACTTTTGAGATTATCGAAATATTCTTCGTAATTTCGAGGTAATTTCAATCATTTCTCTAGTGCATCTTGAAAATTACGATAATTTCATTTTTTGGAAACCGGAACATACCGAGAGCACTATTAATGCAAGATTGCACAAAGAATAAGGACTTCAGCGAATCTAATATCTGAAGTAATTGCATAGACCTGCATGTCAGGATCTCCATCAATTTATCGTACGAATAGTTTCAAAGTGTTGTGCATCTTTTTAAGATATTAACTCTTCCACTAATGCTTATTACCCATAATACTCTGAATATGAACTGCTTTTTACTAATGAGAGACCTATTCCAACTGATACCCACCGTTTCAACTTATATTGGACCCACAGAAAGGTCTCGATGCAAGTATTAGAAGCGTAAAAGAATTAATGTTCATAAGTCTTTGTCATCGAGTTACGATCACTCTACTGGATTTTCGACAGATTTGTAAGTGGTTTCCTAAAATTCAAATAAGAGAAGTCATCAAGATATTCAATTTTCAACCTTAGTCCTTTGTTATAGACATGTCACAAAAACTAAGTTCATTTGAAAATTCAAGAATTCGACAAAGAAAGACTATTTTCGGCTAAAGCTTTCAAAATATTCTAAAAGTCATTAGATTTATCTATAGATGAAACTTTAAATCAAACCTTCCTTATTAGGTCTTCCGTGAAGTGCCTAAAATGAGTGAAAAATTGACTAAACCTATCATAACTTGTCGCTGAAGACCAAAGAAGATGAACTTTGTTAGCCTTTTGCTATGCTCTCCGAGATCTGCTTGTGCATCCAATATGAGCTCCAACGTCAGGTATCACTTGCGATAGTTTTTTCATAAGTGCAAATGGGCACGGAAAATACGCATACACTGTTAAGTTGTTTGAGTTGTGTGTCGTCAAATTGAAAACCACACTCTCATAATCTGAACTGATTTCAGGACATATAAACTCGAAAGATTCGACGTTGTCTCATACTTGATGGCAGATATTGGATGATGTTATGGATAAATAGAGTGTAGGTGTGGATGTGGATGAAGATAAGGCTAACATCAACACCTTATACCCACACCTACGCCCATACCTACATCCACACCCACACCCACACCCGAACAAAAGCGTTTCATAAGTCGAAAAGGCCCCTACCAACTCATGAAGATAGCTGATCAGTCAAGAAGTCGATCACAGTTGAGTAAAAAAATTTATCCGTTGAGCAATAGTTTTGCAGTCCAACTAAAATTTTCTGAATTCTTTTATGACAGAGGCACGAAGATTCGTTTGAAAACACATCTGATTCTCTTCCATTATTGTGACCGAGATTATCCACTAGATGTATCGTTATGACTCTGTTATGCCACGAAGAGAAAATATTATTAAATATGGCTGTGCAAAGTTTTTAAACATCATTCGAAAGATTCAAATATTAACACGTTCGACACGATGGGTTTCACTGGTGGGATCCATCGTGTCGAATGTGTTAAAAAAACGTTCAGAATTGTAATTTGTGAGAACGACTTCACAAATATCGGTTGGATAAATAATCTGGTACTCTTTTTTCACCATATAGTCAATAAAAGGTAGTTGACCCCTTGGATAATCCGTAATCCGTATCGTCCAAGGACTCTCTTTCAGTTGTTCAAGAGCTTTGAAATCTGTCCAACTTCCAGGCAGAGTGAAGATAAAATGAGCTCGTGAAACCAAGTGATTTCGCAATACGTAAAAAACGCGATCTACACACAATTGCATTAGAGATTCATCAAACGGTGGACACACATAGTAAGTCATACCGGGTGGTTCTGCTTCCCATTTAGCTCTAAAGAAACAACCTCGAGATCCAAAAAAAGCTTCGAGATCTGGAAAAGCAGAATAGTATCGATCAAAATAGTGGTTGAAAGCAGAAGCGAAACATTCACACATGAACGGATAGCTTGGACTCAGTTTTGTTTCTTTTTCGTATGATCGAGCTAGTCCATGACACCGTAGACGCATGTACTTATAACGGAGCCCTAGTGCATATGCTGGATTGTAGTAATCGGGTCCAAAGCGTTGGGCTAATCGTGAAAAGTCTTCTTGCACTCGACCTCGATAGACAAGTTTGCCGTCGGTATTCGGTAGAAGAATTACGGGTGCATCAATGCCAATATTTGCCGTACACACTTCAAGTGCAGAAAGAACAAGTTGATGATCAATTAACTCAACCAGTTGAATAGCATTGGTTACTTGTCGATGTTCAAGATCACGACAGAGCTGTCGCCTTGCAATAGGACATGTACCGATGGCAAATACTGGGTCAGGCATTGGACGAGAAAGGTTTGCTTTCTTGATGAATACATAACGCAGTAGAAGATGCGATATTTGCTTCTCAGACCAGTGCAAATAAACTCGATGATTAGAAAGCCACAACTTTATCAAGTTTAGTATTTGTTTGTACAATTGCTCACGAACCAATTCAGTTTCGACTAGTCCCCGATTCTGATCGCTTTTATAGCATGGCGAACTTGGCAGTATCCGTTCAGTCGTTGGTATTGTGGGACCAGACGTACTTTTGATAGCTATTATCGTTGCTTTTTTGGTATCCATCCTAAAAATCAAATACGTTAGAGTACCGTTTTATTTGCCGACCTCATGATTGAAATTTTGCCATATGACGTGTAAATGTGTTCAACTGAATCTGAAATTCAATATTATCATGACAAAAGTAATTTATAGAGAAATGATTATTTTGTTCCTTTCTTTTTTTGATAACTGCTCGAATTCCATCAATCGTTTCGTATGCGAGATTGTACGGACAGAAACTATAAGTAATCCGTGAAACAATATGACTTTTCTCAAATCCGTAATGACACAAACTTTGACATAATGTTGTAATTCATCATTTACTTCATATTCAGATTCATCATATTGTTGAGGAGCTATTGAAAAACGTCATGATCAACTGCAGTAACATATGTATGAAAGTGAAGGCGGTCAATGCTCATTCGGCATATATTTCTAGTGTTCCCTGAAGCATTTCTACTTCATCGTTGTGAAATAATCCGAACCGTCACCTCCACTAGATATGTTTGCGAAAATTATCTGCTTGATGCTCTTTTACCTCATGAAAGATAACTCTGCGCCCAGCATTATCTTATCACTATTTTTTGTTTCTCGTGTGCATACCGAGAGAAAAAAGTCGTCATCAAACATGGAGCACGGGATTGTTTTCGCAGAAATTTGAAAACGTACTTTTGATAAAGAGGATATCAGAGGTGTGGGTGTAGGTGTATGTATGAATTTGTGAGTGATCGACAAAGAATAATTCACGCCCGAAGAGAACGGACGAATTGACGCTACCCAAAAGTGGTTATGGTGAATTTAATGATGAACGAAATATAGCATAAAGAATGTTCACGACCAATATTTTTTACAAGAACTGATTGAAAAGAATTTTTTATGTGACGAAAAAGAAAGGAAATATCCAACAAAAAATTGTGCTAAATTCTACCAAATAAATGTCATAAAATTGTTGAAAGAATAAAGTGAAGAAAGCGTTCAATAGATGTTCTCATATTTCAAACTTGTATTTTTTGAAAGTTTCAAAATAAAAAAAAGAAGACTAATTTGTAGTACAAAAACATATCTTTGAAATCGTCTCAAATTTCATCATTCATCGTGATTCTTTTGTGTATCCAAATAAATCGTTATAAACCGTTAATATTTCCACAGAGGAAGTTTTTGGACAATTTTATAATAAAATTCAACTGGAATAATTAAATTATATAAATAAAGTCTTTTCTCTTCATTTAGATCAATATTAATATCAAAGAAAGAATATGTTAAGAAGACAAAAATCTTTTGTTCTGATTATACACAGTAAATAGGAAGAAGAAAAAGATCTCTCTCCTTCTTCATGAGAAACTTCTATGATAGTACAAAGATAAGAGACCGCCATATACCACTCGTCGATGAATAGATGTAGACTCAGAGCTGAAGACTACAATTATGTTCGACAATCGTCAACGTAGTTTGACAAATCATGATTTTCTGAAAAATCAGGAAATAGTCAGTTGCTTTAATTGAAAGGACCTCACAATTAATCTACCTTTAGAAATGATAATGTAATAGTCGATTTTCACGCGATCACGTATGTTGCATTTGAGGTTATAAATTAACTTTTTGGATTTTTTTTATCCATATTTAATACAGAGAATAGTAAAAATACTGAACACATTGAAACAAACAAAAAACTGACTTGTATTCTCCTAAATAATATTCTCCACAATAGAATAAGACCTATCATTTTTGCTAATAATACTCAGATTTTCACGAGACGCAAGTTTCTCGAATTTCACGTATTTGCGCTTATCATTATTCGGTACATCCTAAAACGATGCGTTTTCCGAAATTTCTGAAATTATGAAGGCATGAGTGTGGATATGAACGTAGATGGAAGGAAAACTCACGTTCACATCGCACTCACACTATGTAAATCACTTCACTTTTGATTTCTGTCCATACGGTGATGGCATTTGATAAATAATCGAACGTTAGAATAAACACGTTCATCTTGCGATGATACGAGCAAAATTCTTCAATGGTTCTATTCAAAGTGTTTTTTGCTCTTACGTTCGTGTATACTTGCTGTGCTAGCCTTTCCGTTTATATACAACGTCAAGACGAGCAAAGCTGAAAAAATAACGACCACGTTTAGTAGTCGCTCCTCTGTAGTGACTATGATGCGAGCATTTTTTTCTTTCCTTGCGTCTTTCTTTCTCTCATCCCTGTATGTCTTTCGTTCTCAACGAACTTGCAGTTATAAATATTTCGTCCGTAGTAATACACGTTTTTTTTGTTGCCGTGCATGATGTGCTTTTGCATCATAGAAGGCCTTCCTTTTTTTTGGTGAGACATAGAATATTCGCTTTGTGATGAGAAGAATAGTGAGAATTCTTATGAACTTCTACCGATCTCTTTTTCGTACTTTTGACAAACAAGTGAGTGGAATAAGGAATGTAGACTTGCAGAGGACAGTTTTATTCGTTGATTCTCTAGTGATTTTTTTTTGCTATTCATATACATCAATATTTACACATAGTATTGCAACCGTTCCGTTAAGTCTCTTTGAAAATGCATATTTTCTTATGCTTTGATGATTAATTATTTTAGACGATTATTTAAACCAAAGTCAATACTTTAGTACGTCATTAGTAAAACAAAAACTATATTAGGACATTTGTGTTTGTTTGGAAAAATTGTGATATAGAAACGACATGTCGATTGCTGATGTTCAAGCCTTAATTGGTCACGATGTGATTCTACTTGTTGGGTCACCATTATCGGGCAAGGGTACGCAAGGAAAACTTCTTGCCAAAGCCCTTGATCGGCCATACGTATCATCCGGAGATCTCTTTCGTGATGAAGTGGCAAGTGGAAGTGCACTGGGTCAGCAGATAAAAACTTACATGGATTCTGGTGAGTTAATTCCTAACGATCTTACAACAACATTTCTCACTACCAAATTAAGCGATTCAATTTATCACAAAGGCATGATCTTGGACGGTTATCCTCGTAACATATCTCATCTTCCTATCCTTGAGAACATATTGACAAAGTTGAATCAACGCATCTTCATAGCAATCTATTTGGATGTATCCAAGGAGCAGCTCAACAAACGTCGTGCGCAGCGTGGTCGAACTGATGATGACGCTGATACTTTTGAACGTCGATACGCAGTCTTTCAAGAAGAAACATTGCCTCTGATTGACGTACTCAAATCAAGAAATCAACTTATCAAGATCGAATGCCATTCTAAATCTTCTGCCGAGATCAATCAACAAACACTTTCAGAGTTGATATCTCTGTGTAAATAGTCTAAAACTTTGATTCAGTTAGACAATAACTAATCCAAGCAAAAAATATATCTGATTTTACATGCATGTGTCTTCATGAACTTTGATAGATTTTTCGATGCTCCCGTAGTTTTTGATACATTTATCAGACGATAGGAATGTTGCCAGATACATGTATCATCATTAATTGACCAAACTATCTAATAATTATGCGTTTAGAAACTATTTTAATGCGAACATAGTAATATAAAACATGAAAGAAAAAGCATTTTTGACGAACTTGTCAAAAACCTTACCTGGAAATCGAATTAGAGTATTCAAGATTTCTGAACTCTTTTGTTCGTTACACCACCTAATAAAAATTATAACGACTGGTCTGATGATCTCCTTGGTATGTTTTTTGCCAACATACATTCCTATAAAATTAGTATAGCTTCTATGTGCTACTGGAAAATGATTCAAAACATGTTTTAAGTTTGTAAGAAAAAAAAATTCATCCAGCATAGTTCAACCGATGAGATGAAGATCACTTAGTTCTTTTAAAAAATAGCAGGCAATCTTCGTCGAATACATCACGAATCGAATCTACCCACGTCTTTCATCAAGTGATGGATACAGTCATTCAATTATTCAAGTAATGTGACCAATATGCATTAATACTTATGCATGCTAACAAGCATCACACAAAGTTGCTACTGCTTTAATGAACACATGACGTTCAAAGGACAGAACTATCGAATTTTTTATGTTTATTCGTCAGATGTCTCTTTGAAAAAAGGATCATGTTTTCGTTTTCGAGTTGTTGAGTGTCTCTAGTTCGAGTTGCCTCTTTCGATTTGTTCTTTAGTAAGCTGAACATAAATATAATATATACTCTGATTACTATGCTAAGATTTCAACTGAATTCAAATTATTTGAACATCAGTATTACAAATTTGTAGCGAAAAAGTAGCATGATTATTTAAATCTATAGTTCAACGATGTTCATGACAATAAAAGTGTGTCTGAGGATGTGAGCATGGACATGAAATAGCTGGACGCCAAGATAATGCAAAGATAATGGAATGAAAGCATTAAAAGAAACAAGTTTATATTTTCACAATTATTAATCAAATTCATATAAAACAAAATAACATCAAACTATAAGTTGAGTTCTAACGAAAAATATATTTCAAAGAAAAATAGTCGTAAAAACAACTATTCTATATAATATTCACATCAGTCTCAACTTCATGAGTTTTTACATTCAATCTTAAAAATTGCTTGTCATATTCTATCATATTACTGTAGAAGATATTGCGAAGTAATAGGCAGCTTAGAAAGTTCTTAAGAAATGATCGAAAATTACGATTGTGTCTTGATTTTTTTAGTTCTTGGTTTGATTGAATATTAGATTAAAGTGAACTTTTGCACTCTGTTGTAACCATACATAACTACATACAGATCACCATTTTTTTGATCCACAGCTAAACTCCCGAAATTTTCTAGAGCGTCATATGCAGGTTTAAAACCCATATAAATACGTTCCCATTCGTCAGAATTATATGGATTATCGATTGCATTTTGCATAATACTAATTTCTTCTCCAAATGCATTATAAATTCTTAATGAGGATTCAGTGTCAAGTGCATATAGATTGCCATAACAATCACCAAAAATTCCAAATGTAGGCACTTTTGTCTTGAATATTGTTTCTCCACCTTGTTCATCTTTTGATACTTTTCGTACTCGATTATTTTTAAGATCAGTTGCAAACAAATTCATATTGAAATCAATATAAATATCAGATGCTCCCATTGGTAAAGATCCAGAAATATCTGGTTCACCAAATACTCTTTTAAATATTGACTCTTTATATGTTGGTGCTAACCATATCTGTAGATTACCTCCCTGTGCTGTATAAATATTTAAATCTTTATCAATGGAAACACATGACCATCGACCAAATTGTCTTATTAGTTGTGTTCCATTTAATGATGACGATGACCAACTGATAATCATTTCATATCTATTTCAATCTTCTTGATAAGTATAAAGTAGGTCATTTTTATCAATAAATATTTGTTTTAAGGAAGAAGCTTTAGGATATCGGTCAATACCTTGTCCAATAACAACTTCTGCATGTTTTGAATTAACATAATATTTTAAAACACGACTGTTTCCTGAATCTAACACATAGAGATTACTCGTACTGTCCAATGCTATACTGATGGGCTTATCTAATTCATCGAGACTCAATCTTTGTGATCCAATTCCAGCAACAATTATTTTACTGGCATTATATCTAGGAATTTTTGGAAGTTGACATGCTGTTGGTTTTATTATACTATCAGGGCCTGAAATACAAAAAACAAAAAGTTTTCGATAATATAATTTGTATGACGAAGCTATTTTAATCATTACGGATAAACCTCGTTCTTTCTCTATAGTAATTGATTAGGAACTTAAGGTAAAACTATGTCAAGGTGCCTGTAATAGCCTACGAATAAGGATGATAAGGGAAGTTCTTTTTTTTTGCTATATATTTTAACACTCGTTAATTTAACAAATCGTACATACTATAAACAATCATGAGTGAAATACCACTGCAAGTATGTCTACTATGCTAAAATATGTTGAACGACTTCTTGGAGATTTTATTGAAAAGAAATATGAATAAAATGTGAAATTCAGTAAGGGACAATATGAGTATTTATTCCTAATCGAAAAATTGGTATTCGATATTTTATAAAAAAAAAAAAAAGATTCTTTCCTATGATGACATAATACTTCAGGTGCTCATGCACTAAGACGATCGATTAGTAAATTCAGTACTACTATAAAGTCTGTTTTATCAAACATTATCATTGATTATCATGGATGACACTCCCTTCACATTAATATCAGTGACGATAGTAGGTGACTAGATCAAATTAAATAATTAATAGACAACGTAAAATGGTTTAATAGTATTTCATTTTAGGAAACTCGAATCTAAAACAAATAAATAGCTTTGTCTACTATCTTACAGAAAATAATTTTATGTTTGATTTTTTTTCATTGTCACAAATCGTCTTTGAAATTTTTTCAAAAATTCGAAAAATGATATGTCAATAAAAACATTCTTAGAATTTGATTTTCTTACCAGTGGACGTACTGTATATATCAATACTAAGCGTTGAAGTACTATTGAAAATTAATGAAGTATGCGTAACTGTCGTTGAAGTGCTGTTGAAGTATAAAGAAGTAGCTTCAAAATAAAAAATAATTACAAAGCTTAACCACTTTCAGAAACTTTATATGACATCCTTTCGAATCTATCGAATCATATATGAACAATGTTGAGTTCAGAAAATTTTTTCATAAGAGTATCAGAGATGATACTGCTAAAAGTGAAATTTTTAAAAATTTTACTTGTTTACAGTTGTATATGAAGCTACTTTTTTCAATATGTAAGTGAGTTGTTATAAAAAAAGTAGTTTAGTTAGAATCGTGAACAATAATACTATGTAACTGTTGACTATTGATTAATGCACAGAGAAAAATACAAAAGTTTTTATTTTTTTTATTTTTCTTGCAAATAACTGTGTTTTTTCTTTTTGTTTCATCCGACTGGATAAAGCGTAAAAAGGGATACTAATTTAGAAAGAAAGAAGTATTATGTCATATAAAGTACTTTACTCGCTAAAATTCGCAAATATTACTACATTATCTTCAAATCCTTGACTTAGTAATTCTCTAATTATTTGAGCGAAATTTTGAAATTTGTATGCTCTCAAATTTCTATTGAAAAACTTTTGAACTTAATTTTCTACAGAGTATGAAATCACATAATTCTTACCTGTTGTTGACCAGTGTTCATGGCTTTCCGAAGATGATCTATGTGGTATTGTTGTAGTTTTTATAATCAAATTTGTAGTTGGCGATAGCACTTGCTTTTTTCTCATCACAACATACATAGACGTACTCAAAATTGATATAGCGAACAAGACTATTAAGCTTATACTAATTCATCGAATAATTTTATTCCAATCCATTCGATCATGTCCATCAGTTGCAATAAGAACAGGATTGCTCTGTGTTTCATTCTGTGGAACGTCTAGGTCATCGAAATCCATTTATAAAACTTTAAAATACAATGCGCAAACAGGTTTTGGATATATTCAATCGATCGTATTTACTATGTATGTGTCATCCAAATGAGTAGTCATGCGAGAAATGAATATTGGTACTGGTTTTTAAACCATTTTTCTTTTCTCCCTTCGTAATTAATGAATGTTAGTTATCTATGATAACAACAAACACTTGAAACATATTTTCTTTTTACAAGCAAATACATTTTCTTAACAAATGAGTCGTACTTCCGACATAAAAAAATATTATACTTTCATATTTTGTTTATATATCAGTAATTTTATCATTGAAAGATTTTTTTTTTTTCAACAGATGTACTGTTTGTTGGGAGAGTGGGATTGAAGATAATAACTCGATTTTGTTAGAATCTTATTTAACGATAAATATGACTTTTTAAATCTCGTTCTGTTTAGGACACTTCTATAACTTTGACTGTTTAGACTGAAAAATTTATTTCAAATATCTAAAAGTATTACTCATAAATCAAATGGTCGACTCTTATTTTTAGCTTTCTAGTCCGAGCTTATAGTATTCAAATGATCATAAACTAGCTCTTTGGGTCAAGGTTAAATGAAGATTGTAGATTGGATGATAAAGCCCTATGAACACAGACGATTTACTCAAAAAATACTGACATTCTCTTAGGAATTTTTTTTGACTAAATCAAGTCTCGTCGTTTTTCGATATTCTACTTGTGATAAAAATTTTAGTATAATCAATTGTATTGTTGCTGAGAACGAGAAACAGTCAAAATAAGGAGAAGAAAGGAAATATCTTAAAAACAACTCTATTCTATTTCCAACTTTAAATAGACATAGATTGTGCAGAAAGTTTATACTTTTACAGTACTTTAAGTTTTATAGTTATAAACCTTTTACTAGATGATTAAGAATAATTTGATGTACATAACTGATAACGAACTAGATAGAAAAATTGACATAAAAACATATTACTATGCACTTCGCATAGTTGTAAGAAAGAAAATACTGCAGAAAAATCAGCAAAAAAAAACGACATTATTGAAACTTTCACAAGATGACTTTTCACATGCCAATTATTATTTTGATCGAATAATAATTAACGATACATTTTTTTTTAAAAATAACACATTTTTTTCTAATAGAAACTTCTTCCTATAAAAAGAAAATATAACAGGTGACATATTTCTTTGTAAGTCTTCTTATAGGATATTTGACATGGGTAATTCGAATAGTGAAAATGTAACTAGTGAACAAACGACATATAATACTGTGAAATCAACAGACTCTATTCCACGTCGTCGTCATCATACGTTTGTTAACAATGAACCTATTGAACCAATTACAATTATTTGGTTGGATCCTCATGCAAAAGAAGATATTGTTGAATCATTAGATACAAGATCATTACTATTAAAAATCAATAAAAAAAAGGATTGTTTATTTTTTGATGAAATTCAACAATGTGTAAGTGCAATTAAAAGAATAGTTGATGAACAGAAAACATTATTAATTGTTACGTCTAGATCATTTGCTAGTGAAATTCTACCACAAATGAAAACAATAAAATACAATATTTCTACAATTATATTTTGTGAAAATTGTAATCTATATTTTCATTTCAAACTTAAATGGAAAAATGTTATGGATATTTGTACAGAATATGAAAAATTAAGAGATTCAATAGAAAAAGAATTAGTATACTTAAAATCAAATTTATTAAATAGCCCATCATTGAAATTAATGAGACCATTGAATTCATCAAATGATTTTTCTATAAATAGTACTTATTTTTCATATGGTGTTTATATTGAATTAATCAAACAAATGCCACAAACAAAAATTTCAATGAATAATATGTTAAAAAGATGTAGAGACTATTATCGTGATAATAAACAACAGATTGAAATGATTGAAGAATTTGGAAAAACATACACATCGAATAATGCAATCGATTGGTACGTCAAAGAATCTTTTCTTTATAAAGTAGTTAATCGAGCTTTTCGAACAGAAGATATAATATTATGGTATTTATTTCGTAATTATATTACTGATCTATGTAAACAATTGGAACAAGTTCATAAAGAACAAAATATTCAAACAAATTTAAAACTTTATCGTGGTCAATCTTGTATATCAACAGATGAATTAGAATATTTGAAATCAAATATTGGTGGTTTATTTGCAACAAATGGATTTCTTTCCACATCAAAAGATTTTATTATTGCTGAATCATTTTTTGGTGGTGCTGCCAATACTGATCACGTTAAACCTGTTATTTTTGAAATAACTGTCGATGGATCTAATCTTCAGAATACGATTTTTGTTGATATTGAAAGATTTAATGTTATGTATCTTGAAGCGGAAGTCTTATTTAATATGAATTCAATTTTTAAAATTGAAAATATTTATTATAATGAGAATTTAGAAGTACATATAATTCAGATGAAAGCAACTGATGAAGTAATGGATAAGATAACAGGACAAATTGAAAAAATGAAAAAAAGAATATCAAAATGGTAATATGAAGGGACTGTTCACATTCTAAGTAGAAGTCATTATTGAGGAGAGAAAAGATCATCACAAATTAATACTGGATGAGAAATAGACTATTTCAGACAATATTATGATGAAAATTGTTACAATACAAATTGTTGATTGGATCATAATGTTGCACATCTTCGTTGAGACTATCTTACATATCACAAATAGCCGCCTATTTTTTTCGATTATGCACGAAGAGCATTCTGAAGATACGGTCGCTTATATTTTTCTCTAGTTAAGTCTCTCAATAAAAAGCAAAGATATGAATTAACATTCCGCCGAACTAAATTAAGAGTCATGAAAGCAAACAATGATCTTTCTTTTTTTCTTTCCTATGGTCATATAGACGAGTAGCCGGAATTTGGCCAATAAGACTTTTGTCAATAGCGAAAGTAGAGTTTACTTTCGAAAGTTATTACGAAGCAATATTGATATGGGATACATATGACGAATGAAGCTAACATTATTAGAGCATATATACGTATCATACCTTACACACATTAATAGAAGAGCTTATTAATTTGTTCATTATCTCATTTCGGATTGCATAATGACTTGTTCGCATTCACAATTTAGGCTTAGTGTTGCTCTAAAGACTTTGACTTTTATTTGTTGTCAGAAGCTTTCTAGCTTTATTAAGAAATGCTAATGCTACTGTTCAACATGTTATATACCGTTCTCAACAGATTCCATATGTTCCATTTGACCATCTTGCCCACTGACGTATTTGACTCTTGTATATGTTGTATATGTTATTAAAGTGAGGCGTATAACTGTCAGAACAATATAGATTGAAGTCACTTTCTCATCGATCAGTAAACTAGAGACACCTGCTATTGGAAAAATAGATTAAACTGTAAGAAAAAGTTCTTGACAGGATGCAAAAAAAGAAAATCTTCCGACTATTGCACGCAGAATTATGGGCAATATTTGCTTCTCACTGTTGCACACATAGGTAATGACAAGCATTATCTCAGACGATGTATCGATAAGGTTTCGTTCTAAAACAAGTGTATTGATAAAGTCATAAATGAGAAAACGATCGAAATGTGATGACGTAATAAGTCAATCATATCAAATCTGGTATTCGGCAGGTTGTTACTCGATATGAATGAATATGAGAAAGCTGAATCTTATTTTCAAAGATTATTACAAGTTTTGCCAGTCAAACATGCAGATCGAGCTTCAATCTATGATTATATGGGAACTCTAAATATGCGTATAACTAATTGGAAAGAAGCATTAAAAAATTTTAATTTAGCATATGAAATTAAAAAGAAAGAATTACATTCAAATCATCGAAAAATAGGTCGAACATTAAATGGTATTGGTAATTATTATAAAGTAATTGGAGATTATTTTCAAGCAATGATATTTTATGAAAAAGCTTTACAATGTCAAAATGATCTATGTGCTAAAGCTGTAATTCAACTTAATATCGGTGTCATACATTCGATGAATAAAGACTATGATCGAGCACTTAAATTTTATTTTGAAGCGCGTCATATTCTTGAACAAATTCATCCATGTCCACATGAAGAAATAGCTCAATGTCAGGCTATTATTGGTAATCATTATTTAACTTTAAAAGATTATAATACAGCCGAAGCTTATTTTCATACAACATTTGAAATTAGTAAAAGAATTTTACTGAATGGTGATCATATTCGAATTGAATCTGTAAAATTATTAGCTGACTTATATAATAAGCGAGGGAAAAACAGAAAGCTATTAATTTTTGTTATGAACAATTATCTTTCTATGAAAAAGAGCCGTGTAATATAATGAGATTAGTATTGCAAATATTTTAATAACTATTGGCGAGTTATACGAAGATAATAATGATCAAAAGATACAAGTCTTGGATAAAGCATTATCTCTATTAAAGAAAAATATGCATATTCAATATGCTACAACAGCTAATTGTTCTTTTATGATTGCAGAATATTGTTATAAACAAACTATCAGTGAAAAAGCGTACGATCATGCTATGAGAGCCCTTGAAATACGAAAGAAAATTTATCCAGATGATCATTCGATTCTAATCGAGACACAAGGTCTGATTGATGCTATTAAATCTTTAAAATAAATAATAAATATATATTTAATGTAATATTTTCCTAAACTTTCACAGTTTATGTATTGATTACATCTCAAATACTTAAATGTGCCTTATATTCACTGTAGAACTCTCAAGAGGTAAAACTAGCGTATCTGTTGAGGCATTTATAGTATGATCCTCACGACAGGAAGAGTAGAAGAAATTAAGAATAACACTTGTTAAATCAACAATTGATAATACTATGTGAAACTTGCCATCATACTACGATTTATAAGCGATTTTCGTGACTCATTTCTGGTTTAAACGTTGTGCACGATACATTGAGAAAAAGAATTGCAATTTTTTTTGACATGGAGATCTACACTTTTCTTTGTTTTATTCTTGTAATTGATAACAAAAAACGTAACACATAGGGAGACCAACAATAAAGACAACTCATCATAAAAATGTAAATCATATAGAGAATCATATACACTTGATAGACAGGTAACTCTATCTGAAATGAGCGAAGCTTGAAAACTGTCAATGTTCCACAAGGATGTACACCTATATGTTCATGAATAATTTTAATACGATGACGGGAGCGAAATATTGGTGAATAGGTGCATGTATGTCGGAATACAACTTCAGATGCGTACACTTTTGGACAATGCCAACGACGAGAAAATATTACCATATTTGTATCGAGCTCGAGCGCAGATCCAAAATCACCGTGAAATCGTTCTGCACTTTCTACTTTATAACCAACTTTATGCACAAGAATTGATAGAACAGATTGATCAAAACGATGTGTAGTCGATGAACGTGAAGTTATTGGAGCAATGCAATCAACATTTAAGGAACACGCTACAAATGGCGTCAAAATATCTTTATGAAAACCAGAATGATTTGTTATAAAACCTAAAATGCCTCCTGCAGTTTGATAATAAACACCTGTGCTGAACTCATTTTTACTCGTATTCAATGCTGTAAATGTTTGCTCATCAGTATGATCAATAATTAATGTTTTTTGTTGTGTAAGAAAATAACCATGTGTTCGGATTGTTTCTATAATTGGATCTAGTGATGAACGTAATTCGGTGCCAGCATCGAGGTAGAGAATAATTTTTGTCATCGATCTATATTTTTCAAATACTTCTTTTAATAGTAGTGCTTTGTAAGCAAATAAATCTAGATCTGCTACGTGAGAGGGATAGATCTCATATGGAAATGGCTCTATTTTAATATTGGTCATGCATGATATCCAAGAGAGTTGTGTATCAGTCATACCAAGATCGAAGACAAGAATCGATATGTGAGGTTCATGAAAATGTATCGATCCGATAAGATTTTCTAGTCTATCGACAAACTGTGCTGAAGATGCTGTTACTAGTATAAAATCATGACGATTTGTTGCATTTGAAAATATTGACAGATGATTATTGAGTTTGGAAACGAAATTTCGATCGTGTGGACGCTTGATAGGCATCAGTAAAGTGCTGAGTGATGGTTTCAAAAGAATGTAATAAGTAACAGTAACAAATACGATATAAATACCAAATGTCACCAAAACGAATGGTGTACAACGATTATATACAAAACGACTTTTAATGAAATGAAAAATTCGTAGACGATAGAAGCATGTACTTCGAATTCTCTTGAAAAAATTCATTAAACAAAATTAAGGTTGAAACTCCAATTACTTGTTAATGCTTTGATTGTTTAACATTTTTGCTAAAAGTAATGTAATCATCAAAAATAACTCGATAAAATATGACTACACGTGACACATACACAAACCTATGTTTCGGTCTTTTACTTTCCTGTCATACTTTCCTTTTTCTACTTGATAGTCAAATGGCAAGGCTGTAATTTGTATATTCATAGATGCATTTGCCAGCTAGTGCAATACTCTTATCTACAAATATCAACAAAAAAAAAATAAGACATACTAGTGTAAGACTTTTATCAACATATTTTGATTTTCATCTGTAAGAATATATGTAAAATTTAAAATTGAATATATGTTCCTATGATTCAAAATTAATCTTATAAACCACTTGTAACAAGATAGTTAGACGATTAAATTCTTATAAGAATTCATTTAAATTATTCTTCAAGCAACCCAGATCTATGAAACATACTGGTTCTCTCGAAGAATACACTTAATTCAAAAAGCTAAACGTTTACTAACATGTAAAAATATATGACAAAATTATATTCTACCTGAAAGTAGCTTGTATAAGTACTACGCGTTCTGTGAAAGTAACATATATATTAAGGAAGTATGTAATTAGAAAGCATGCTAAAATATATTTATTAATTTTTTTTTTTCTACTCTTGTCTTTTTATCAGAATGAGAAAAATATCAGTCACACACTCATTTGAGTCATTTTTATTTTTTATGTTCTTATAGAGTCTAATGCTGAAATACGTTTACAGGTGGCTTTTTTTTCTACATGGTTGAGATCAAACTATAATGAAAAATAAATTTGATAAAATTATTTAAACATGTTCACTAAGAATATACTCTCTTAATAAGATAGGTCCATTAAATACAATAAACTTTAAATAAGAACATAAATGTTACTTTTAAATATGATTATATTTTCTATGTCTGTTTAACATTTTATATTCGAGAAATACAACAAAAAAATCAAAATAGACCATAAACTCATGAAATATTATATATAGAGAAATTTATCAATTATATCTGCCTGTAACAATTCGCTTTATCTGTGCTGACGCGATTAGACAAACTAAAAGAAGAAAGACAGTCTTTATTTTGCTCTAAGAAGTCAACAAACATTCGCTTTCAATTCTTCAGACACTTTTAGATCCCTCAACACTCATCGAAGTTTGGAGTACTTCAGAGAAGAAACATATGAAGTGCATAATATCGACTGCTTCAGTAGAAGCAAGTCGAGCAGAATAATAGTTGTAAGTAATGAAATTAATTTTACTTTCGTGAAAATTATTCAAAAAGTGATGGATTCATGTCTCTTTCATTCCGATATCCAAATAGGGTGATTTATCTTCGACATATATTTTCTTTAATTTCATATTTTTCTAAACAATATTTAACATTAACTGGCTAGAAAAATAATAAGATTGGAATTTATAAGCGTCTTCGATGAAAAATACAGTCATAACGAGTTTTGCGTTTTGAATGCTTGAAAGAATTTTTTTTAATATTAATTTTATACTTTATCACACGAATCAATCATTCCTCAAAATAGCTCCTTATATGGCATCTGAAACTCAAAAAAGCCTTTTCTATAGTTACAGACACGCAAAAGATATTTTTATTCGATGAAAAAATTATTTTTTAATTTTCGAAAACTATTACCAAATATTTACATAACAATCTTGAAAATACTATCCTTCTAAGAATTGACAAGATAACTTTCATAGAAGAAAAATAGTTCCTATGAAGTTTAGACCTTCGAATCTCTTCGTCCGTGTTTATTCGATAGGTTTCAACGACTCGAGAATGAGGTATCTATAGGAAAAACTCTTTTTGTTTTGATCAAATTTTGATCTCCTTTGTAACATTAGTTCAGTTGGTCGAAATGTCTATCGGATAACCGGTTGAATAAAGTTCAAATAATACACAAATGAACAAAATAGAATTTAAAAGAAAAAACCGACGAAAAGGTATAGATTTCAGCATGTTTACCAATATGAAATATTTTCTGAGAATTACCATGTAAAAATATTACAATTTTTCTGAACTAAGTTATTCGATATACTGAATTAATCTAAAGCGATAACGATTGATAACATCTTAAAGCATACTGTCAAGTGAGCTCGAACAAATAAAATTGATCAAAAAAAAAACATTTCTTCATTGCATTGTCTCCATCATAAAAGTAAAACATTGACTGATGCAAAATATATTAAATTAATTGTACAATCGAAAAGGAGAAACAATGAAATGAAATATTCTCAGCTTTCATGCATAACCTATGTGTTTGTCTAGTTTGAGCGACAAACATAAATAAATCCTTATACTGCAATCGATTCTATTCAGTGAGTATAGTTTGTTCACTTGCAAGATGATTAAAAAACGTAGTTAATTGTTCGCCGTATTACTGTTAAACTTTTATTCCCTAACATCACTGAACTATAATATATGTCCAATCGTACATTGGTTTTTTTGCTCTTTTTTTTTGATTGTGTTATCTTCACAACTTTCAATACTGATTCATGTCAATTCGACAAGATAATCATTTCAAGAGCTGTAAGAAAAGTCGATTGTCAAACAGATCATCAATAGATCTTTAATGTAATAAGAAATAGATAATAACAACTGGCATAATCTCGCACATATAAGGAGAAAAACCTAGCCGGACATGTTCAAGAATATTCTTTTATAATTGTATAGAATTCATTTTTCATTCTGAAAAAAAAATCAGAGAATTTTAACGCGCTTCTTAGAGAGCTTTTGTTTTACTTCTCGAATTCCCGCTTATTTTCCAACATCATCGAGAAACACACGTAACAGTATTGAAAAAGTTTTTCTACCTAGATCAGGTTGATGATGAGGCACGCCATAACATATATTACGACGGATGCTCATAGCATCCGTTGTGTCATAAATAGAGGAAATACATTTTGTACGATACCGATGATTTCTGAGAAAATTGCGACTTCGTATACTGCTCGGTAAAAAATTACCTTGTGAACCTTGTAAGACGTCTGTATCAATCCTGTAAGAACTAACGCAGATGAAACTATGAAG